TTCTATTGGTACCTTAGATAAACAAGGGTACAGTTTTTCAGGAAATGATGGACAAATTACAGTTTCTAAAGGTGCTCTGGTTGTTATGAAAGGAAAGTTACAACATGGAATTTATGTTATGCTTGGCAATTCCTTTCAGGGAACGGTGTCTATATCCCATTCCTTAGAGCAACATGTTGATAATACAAAATTATGGCATTGTAGGTTGGGACATATGAGTGAGCGTGGACTTGCAGTGTTGAGTAAACAAGGACTGTTGGGTGGAGCGGTGACAGGGAAATTGAAGTTCTGTGAATCTTGTGTTATGGGTAAACAACGCAGGCTGAAATTCAGTCACGGTAAGCACACTTCAGCCGAAATATTGCAATATGTTCATTCTGATTTATGGGGTCCTTCCCCAGTTCAGTCCCATGGAAGGAGCAAGTATTTTGTGACGTTTATTGATGACTACTCTAGAAAGGTTTGGGTGTATTTTTTGAAGTCCAAGGATGAAGTGTTTGGGCGTTTCAAGGAGTGGAAGACTATGGTTGAGAAACGAACCGGGAAATTAGTCAAGACTCTAAGAACAGATAATGGATTGGAGTTCTGCAATGCATTATTTGATGATTACTGTAAAGAAGCAGGTATAGTCAGGCACCTCACAGTGAGACATACACCACAACAGAATGGTGTTGCTGAACGAATGAATCAAACACTACTTCAGCGTGCTCGGTGCATGCGTTTAAATGCTGGTCTCTCAAAAGAATTCTGGGCTGAAGCAGTTAATACTGCTGCCTATTTGGTGAACAGGTCTCCATCTACTGCAATTGACTTAAAGACTCCTCAGGAGGTATGGTCTGGTAAACCTTCTGATTATTCTGGCTTACGTATATTTGGTTGTCCTGCTTATGCTCATGTTAATGATGGTAAATTAGAGCCTAGGGCAATGAAATGTATATTTCTTGGGTATCCTACGGGTGTCAAAGGATATAGATTATGGTGTACTGAAAATAACAGAACAAAAAAATTTGTTATTAGCAGAGATGTTACTTTTAATGAGTCTGCTATGTTTGGCCAGAAAGAGGAAGTTGAAAATCTTGCAGGAAATAAAAGTACAAATAAGGGAGTTCATCAGAAGGTGGAGTTTGAGGTTGAAGATTCAAATAAAGAAAATTTGAATCCTGTGGAACAATCCAGTAATGTTCAAGAAGAGCCTCAAAGCATAGCAACAAGGAGAACAAGGAGGGAAATCAGAAAACCTACGAGGTATGCAGATGTTACTAATGTTGATACTAACTCTGTTGCATATGCCTTGCTAGTAGGTGAAAATCTTGATTCTGATGAGCCTAAATCCTATAAGGAGGCGATTCAAAGTAAAGAAGCATCGAAATGGCTAATTGCCATGGATGAGGAGATGCAGTCACTTAAGAAAAATCAAACCTGGGAGTTAGTACCATTACCTAGAGGTGTGAAGCTAGTGGGATGCAAATGGGTGTTAAAAAGGAAAGAAGGGATTCCTGGTGTTGAACCATCCAGATTCAAGGCAAGACTTGTGGCAAAAGGTTTTTCACAGAAAGAAGGAATTGACTACCATGAAGTGTTCTCGCCTGTGGTAAAACATAAGACTATTCGAGTTCTGTTGGCTATGGTGAGTGCTTTGGATATGGAGTTAGAGCAGCTTGACGTGAAAACTGCATTCTTGCATGGAAATTTAGAAGAGCAGATTTACATGTCACAGCCAGATGGATTCCTTGAGGCCGGAAAAGAGAACCATGTGTGTTTGCTGAAAAAATCCTTGTATGGTTTAAAACAGAGCCCGAGGCAGTGGTACAAGAGGTTTGATGCTTTTATGATTTCCTATAATTTTGTCCGAAATGAGTTTGATAACTGTGTTTATAGTAGGAAGCTATCAGATGGTTCCTATATATATTTGTTGTTGTATGTGGATGACATGCTAATTGCAGCTAAGAGCAAGACTGATATTGATGCTCTTAAAGCTATGTTGAGCAGTGAGTTTGAGATGAAGGATTTGGGTGCTGCCAAGAAGATTTTAGGAATGGAGATTTGGAGAGACAGGAATGCAGGTCTACTTTATGTATCTCAGAAGAAATACATTGAAAAGTTGTTGCAGTCTTTTCAAATGGAGAATTCTAAGCCTGTTAGTACTCCTTTGGCAACACATTTTAAACTTGATGCTAGCACTCTTCCTAGTACTGATGAAGAGAAGGAGTATATGAATACGGTTCCTTATTCTAGTGCTGTTGGGAGCTTAATGTATGTCATGGTTTGTACAAGACCAGATTTGGCTCATGTTGTGAGTGTGGTTAGTAGATTTATGAGTAATCCTGGAAAGGCTCACTGGGAGGCTGTGAAGTGGATTATGCGATATTTGAAAGGTACTAGTAATATCTGCTTAGTTTATGGTTCTAATGATATTGGGTCTGGTCTTATTGGCTATGCAGATTCTGACTATGGTGGAGATCTCGTGAGGAGAAGATCTTTGACATGTTATATCTTCACTCTTTATGGTTGTGCTGTAAGTTGGAAAGCAACACTTCAACCTACTGTTGCTTTGTCTACCACTGAAGCGGAATACATGTCCTTGACAAAAGGGGTTAAAGAAGGTATATGGTTGCAAGGTCTTATTGATAGCTTGGGTTTGAATGTGCAGAGACGTATACTTTATTGTGATAGTCAAAGTGCTTTGTGTTTGGCAAAAAATCCAGTCTATCATGAAAGGTCAAAGCATATTGATGTCAGATTGAATTTCATACGAGATGTAATTGAAGAAAAATTGTTCTCCATAGAGAAGATAGCTACGGTAGACAATCCAGCAGATATGTTGACTAAACCTTTGTCTTTTGAAAAGTTTAAGCATAGCTTGGACTTGGTGAATGTTCGCATCGCTTGAGACCATTCGGGGAGAATAAGCAGGAGAGTTGTTCTTGGTTACTGGTGACTTGGGAAAATTCAAGTCAAGGTGGAGAATTGTTGAGATGCCTTTAAATTTATAATTTTGTCTGTTACTATTTCAATCTTATTTGGGTTGTAATGAGGCTGTTATATTTTATCCTTGTTATAAGGCTAAAAGGCATCTGTATCAGATATCTCTATTCATTCAGAAATAAGAAACTCTTGAACTGCCCGTGGACGTAGGTCACACTGACTGAACCACGTAATTTGTGTGTCGTCTTCTTTCTCTTCTCTTTCTTTTACATATTGTCATAACAGTAATAATGTAAAGTTAAAGAGATGAACTAATATAAAAATATTTGTGTATATAGTATCTTCTCTCACTTGATTCTCATTTTTCATTTTACATTTAAGTTTGTTGTTTGATGCTTACAATTTATTATGTTCTAAAGATATTAATATGACCTTAGCCTGATTTAAAAATTAATTTGGAAGAAATATGATAAGGTTAAAATCAGTTCCTTACTTCAAAAGGCAGTATTATAAACTGTTGTAAAAAAAAAAAAAAAACCTTCTTATATACCATCCGAAAACTATATTTTGCAAACAACTTTTAATAACTAGCTTCTCAGCACTTGGACATTCTCTACTTAATTACATATATTATTTATTATTCAAGTGTGAGAAAGCTTTTCTTTACTCTTAACCAACTTTTGACTTTTAAAACTTGAGCATAAAAATTAAGCGGGGTATTTTATTAACTTGTGTAGAGAAAAGGGAAAGGAAATAAAATATTAGTTTTAAACACCTTTTTTTAGTGATCCTCTTGTCCATTTTAGGCGTGAATAGATGTAAAAGATAGTTTGATGTACAAGTCAATAACAATTTATTATAGTGACCGTGTATAAAAGAGAGTACTAATATCACACTCTTCTGAATTCACATTTTTTTATTATACAAAGTTATTAACTCTCCAATTATTAATTATTTTAAATCATTTATGAAAGAATATAGAAAATTTTCATCTGCAAATTATTAATCATTGAAATATCGCACAAAGAAAATATTTTTGTTCACTTTATTTATTATTTTTGTTATTACCATTATAGACAATTTTATATTACTAATGGATTTTAAGGTTTTATTTTTTATAACACGAGCCTTTATGACCGGCTTAATAAAACTTTTTATTCATTAACTATATTATTAATTAACTATATTTTCTTAATATACAACTATTTTTCATTTTTCAAAATCATTTTTATGACTTTTATTTCCTCATTAATTCTGCCATAAGAAAACAATTGTGGATTTTTATGATGATATTTTTTTCTATGTATTTTTGTGGAAATATCAAAAAACAAATTATGCATTTTCATTCAAATAATTTAACAATATTATTAATTAACTATATTTTCTTAATATACAACTATTTTTCATTTTTCAAAATCATTTTTTTAACTTTTATTTCCTCATAACTTATAATTGGAAAAACAATTGTGGATTTTTTATGATGATAGTTTTTCTCTGTATTTTTTTTGGAAATATCAGAAAACAAATTATGCTTTTTCATTCAAATATTTTTTTTATAGAAAAGAATTACGTTTCTTGTAATTCTTTTACAAAAGAAAATACACATAAAATTTCTACTATTTTCTATTCAGTAGGAAATGAGTATAAAATTGAAAGAAAAAAAAACTTGAGGAGTGTTATAGTTAATATTTAAATACTTATTAAAATCACCTGTAAATCATAATATTTTGAAAAATATTTTTTTTATTATTATTTCAACCTTCTCAAAAAATTTATCTCTCAAGCTTCACTACTTCAATGAGAGACTATTGGAAAATTTATAGATTACTTAATCAGATTTTGGTGGGCAATGTATGCTAATTAGTTGCCGACAAAACGTGATATCAAACCTGTAAATCATATCCATTAATCTAAAGCAAAGAAGTCATGGCTCTATATTCTCATTTGCAGTTCCACTTCAATACCACCAATTATCTACTAAAAATACATATCACCATCAACTATTCACAAAACAAAACTAATTTTAAGTCACCAACCCACAATTTAGCATTGCCGCTTGAAATTAATAATTATAAGGATTTCTTACAAAGTTGGTGGTGCATGGTCTACGTCCTCAAAATAAATCAAGACAATAGATTTTTCCAATTCAAGGTTTTAACTTTGATCCTATTAATTCCTTCCTTTTCTTCCTCCACCTTCTCCTCTTCATTCCATTACTTCCGTGCACATTGCAGATCTTTGTCGTAAATTGTGCTTGATTTGTTGTAAGTGTCTCTTTTGGTGACAATATGGCTCTAGTGAACATAACCACGAACTCCAGTACGGCCTTGAACACGAGCCAATGGAACTGCGAACACTCATCTAAGTTTCAACGTTTTTCAAAAGGAATATTCTACGGGGAAAACCCTTTAAACCACACGCTATCAGTGATTACTCTACAAGCTTCCTTAGTCTGTTTTTCGACCTCATGGTTGCAATTCTTTCTTGCCCCACTTGGGGAGGGTAGCTTCATTCCACAAGTGCTGGTAATATAATATTCTCGTGATATATACATATACACATACCATGCATGTATAATTGTAACTTACAAAAGACGACATTTAGGTGTAATCTTTTGATTTCTTTAACTAAAATTAAAATTTTCTGGCCTTTATTATGCAATGCATTCATAAACACCTGCAATACTGTGTTTTATCCTATTATAAAAATTATTTTTTATTTAAAATTTTCACTTATATAGATGTTTTTATCATAATACTTCCAAAATGAAAAATAATATTTGTTTTCGCCAAAAAAACCACAGTTGTATATATATGATCAGAAAAATTATAGAGAATTGAAATTAATTAGCCAAAGCAAAGATTGATGCATGCGTAAATGAGTGTTTGCATGCAATGAAAAAGTGTTGTTGGATATAAGCTAATTAATACTTTGGTTGTGGAAATGCGTATTCAGGCAGGGTTGCTAACGGGACCAACAATACTGGGAGGAATTAAAAGCGTTAAAAGATGGCTATTCCCCGCAAAACCTTTCTACGTATGCAACACAATCTCCTTTCTAGGGTGCGTGTTTTTCTTGTTCCTTGTGGGAATCAAAATAGAGCCATCGATGGTAATGAGAACAGGGAGAAAGACTTGGGCTATTGGCTTGTGTTCTTTTGTATTTCCAGTCCTATTGAGCATACTTTGTGCTTTGGCTATACGACAAACTTTGAACCCGGAAACAGACCTCTACAAGTCCATATATTATATTGCAATTTTCTTATCAGGTGGTTCCTTTCACGTCACTGCGACTCTTCTAGAAGACCTAAAGCTCCTAAACTCGGAGGTTGGTCAGTTAGCTCTCTCTTCATCTATGGTGAGTGGAGCAGTCTCTGCAATGTGGGAGGTCTTTATAATCACTCGGCAACAATCAACTTTACAGAAAAAGAAAGACAAATCTTCCATCATGATGATCATTTCCTTGGTTGTTCTGGTGATTTTCATCTGTTTTGTTCTTCGACCTATCATGTTATGGATGATACGAAAGACACCCAAAGGGAAGCCCATCAAAGAGTCCTACATAATTTCCGTCTTTCTTATGTTGTTGGTGTGTTCATTTGCTGGGGAGTTCATTGGGGAGCACTTCTTGGTTGGGCCTATTCTTTTGGGCCTGGCAGTGCCAGAAGGCCCACCACTCGGATCAGCATTGGTAGAAAGGCTAGATAACATAGTCTCCGGAGTGTTCATGCCTTTGTACTACCTCAATAGTTCTTCTAGCTTCAAGATTTATCTAATAGATGGTCGTAGCCTTGCAGTGGTGCAACCTGTGGCCTTTATTAGCTTCTTTGGGAAGGTATTGGGAGCCATGTTGCCTTGCCTTTATTCCAATATGCCACTCACTGATTCTCTCTGCTTAGCTCTCCTAATTAGTGCCCAAGGCATCACCCACTTGCTTCACCTACAGACTTGTCAATACCTTCGTGTAAGAATTTATATATAAATACACACCTTTCCTCATTTCCTCTAACTAAAAAATCACTTCGTATTAGAGTGTCTTCAATCACAATGATCATGCATGTTAAAACTCATATCTCATCTGATTTCTGATTAGTTCACAATGTAAATTTTTCATGCGTTGAAATCATTTTTTTCTTCTTCTTTTTCCAATAACTAATTTGAATGTGAATATGTATTGCAGGTTATAGATGATCAAACATATGTTCAAATGGTGATATCTTTAATATGGTTGACAGCAGTTTCCACCCCTGTAGTGAAATTCCTTTATGACCCATCTAAGAGTTATTTGTCCCTAAATAGGGGTAAGACCATTGAACATGCCCCTCCCAATGCCGTCCTTCCCTTGATGGCATGCATACACTTAGAAGAAAACACCCTACCCATGATCAATGTTATAGAAATGTCCAACTCCACAATTGAAAGTCCTATTTTCCTTTATGTCTTGCACCTCATTCAACTAGTAGGTAGATCAGCCCCAGTTTTAATGGACCATCAACTCGATTTTAATTTCAGTCAAGTTAGCTACCATTCACAGAGCATAATAAATGCGTTCAAATCATACGAGCAACAACACACTGGCAACATGATGGTGAAACTCTTCACATCCATCTCCCCTTATGAGAGTATGCACGATGAGATATGCATGCAAGCTGCAAAGCAAAGAGCATGCATGTTGATTATGCCTTTTCATATGCAATGGAGATCAACTCAAATTATAGAATTAGCGCACCCCATTAGAGATTTAAACCTTAATTTGCTCCGAAATGCACCTTGCTCTGTTGGGATCCTAGTTGAACGAGGCAACGTGATCAACAACAACCCTTTAACAACTGTGTCCTTCTACAGTGTTGGAATTGTATTCATTGAAGGGTCAGATGACCGTGAAGCGTTATCATACGCAATGCGCATGGCTGGTCACCCTAATGTAACGGTCACGGTAATTCGGTTGATAGAGCCTGGCAAGAAGAGTAGAACTTATGTCGACACAGACCCTGATGGTGACTTGATTCACAAGTTTAAGGTTGACTTCATCGAAATCAAACGCCATGATTACAGGGAGGAAGTTGTGAGAGATAGTGTGGAAATGGTCAATGTCATAAGGTCACTAGAAGGTTGCTATGATTTGATTTTGGTGGGTAGATGCCACGACAGCGAGTCTCCATTGTTTAGTGGGTTGACAGAGTGGAATGAGTATCCAGAACTCGGTTGTGTAGGAGACATGTTAGTGTCTTCGGATTCTAATTTTGACGGGTCTGTGTTGGTGGTGCAACAACAACATAGGGTAGGGGTTAGTCGCAATGATTTGAACAATTCCTTAAATGCAAAGCAAGAAACCATAACCATTTTAGAAGTGCCCCGTGAAACAAAGATGCGCCAATAGTTTTAAGTGTTTAGCATATCATCGACAATATTGTTATAATTCTGTATTGTTTACAATTATTTTGTTAATGCTTTGTAGCTAATTAAACATTGACTACTAGTGGATTTGTAAATATAGAGATATAATTTGTTTCCATAAAGTAAATACAATGAAGGCAGCATAATCCATTGTTATTGAATTTGTCTGGGTGTTGGATAGCCTAACTGAAGACAAAATCTACCTTTTAGGTTGCACTTGCATAATAACACCCGCAAGCAAACTAAAGATGAGACGATTGCAGTGATTGAAATGAGAAAGGTGGAAATAGCTAGCCAGAAAACAATTACATGGAAAAACTCTGAATTGGCATATATAATGATGTTCGACAAAGTTGTGCTGATCAATTATATCGACAACTATATATAATGTACGGATAGAAGGATGGTACACATGGTCTTTGCCTTCCTCTTATCTGTGGATACTTTTCTTTAATGGTTAGTTAGGAGTATGTGTGGCCAAACAAAGGATGGCGGTTTTTTCTTCCTTTTTTTCTTTTTCGAACAACATATACGAAGGGGTGGATCGCACATAATTAGATTTTCTTTATCAGTATTTCCTCTGCATTAGTATTTTTATTGGGAAAGAATGGGATAGCAAGACTAATAATAACTACCAAGGATGAGGGGTAGGAATTTTTGTTCATGTGTGCTTGTTGATGTGAGTGATTAAGAGGTAACGGAGAACCGAAGATGAGAAAGTTTTTGATTTTTTCTCATCAACAAAGTGTTTTAAAATAGTTAATAGTTCCTTTTAAATAAATAAAAAGTTGTTAACTCAAATAATTCAACATTTATACTCTCTAATTAAAGACTGAAATTTGATCTTTATCTGTGACATGAAATCATAATTATATATTATTTTACCTTACAAGAATTAGCTAGATGAAAAGGGGTTATATCTCTTTGTTAATCAAAAAGGAAAATAAATTTTTTTAAATAATTTTTTTAAAATTCTCTTAAAAAATAATAAAAAATAAATGATCATTTCTCATTTCCACGTTATAAATACAAGAGTAACTTATACTAATCAAAAGTTGTAACTACAAATAGCCTGGACACTTGTATATACCTTTTTATTAAGAAAACAAAAACATTGAGTTTACTATTATTATTCTAGTGATGAAAATTTTGAATAATTTGCATTGAGCTTCAAACTTTGTTACTATCTTACTGTACACAAAATCAAATATGTATAAATGAATTAGATTTGCAACTTTTTGACATGACATGCTTACATTTTATAATATTTCTTTTGGTTCTTTTTACAAGGAAACAAATGATAGTGTATTTATCACCAATGTTTTGTTTCTTATAACAAAAACAGGAGGGAATAATTAGTTAAATTCGATCAAGAGTCTCAATCTTGTTGTGCAAAGCAAATACACAAACTATTATTTTAAGTTTTATGTCTGCTCTCGAATTTCATCATTTCGTGATCTTAAATAAACACATCCTAAAATGTAACATTCAACAATTTAAGTTTAGTGTGGATTGATAGTTGCCCAGCTGTTATACAATTACCAAGACTCTGCTCTGCTCTGTGTCTTATATCAACGAAACATATATACAAGAGATGAGAGTGCATCTACAGAAATCCACTTAAGTTTATATAATTCAAATACAAAAAAGTCACCAAAAGCTTGTTAAATTAATATATATAGTCAATTTGTCAAAATGAAAGTATTTTTCCTTCCAAGATTATGGTTTTATAATAAAAAAAAACACAACTTTCTTACTTCTCCTATAAAAGCAATTTTTCTCTAATCAACCATATATTAATTACAGTACATAGATGAATAAAAGTTCAATTGAAATGCTTTGGCAGTCTCAGAAAGTGATTTTACTCCTTTGAGAAACACACTATATGATTAAATATAATAGGTAATTTAATTTTAAGAGTAAACATGTTGTCGTTCACCAATTGAATTCTCATCATCAAATCTGTAAGATATACATGGTGGATTCTAAACCAATTAGGTATATATATATATATATATATATTGAAACTCCAATCTCCAATGATGGGATGTGTGTGCATGTTTTGAGAAGTTTTCTTCCGGGATTTGGCGACTGAACCCCGTGAACTTTGCTTCTTGCATCTGCTTTGTCCTAACCTAACCAACTGCAGCGCAAGGCTCAATGCTACTTACTCCAGTCCTTGGGATCTCCCTCCATATCATTTCTTTTCACTATATCTGTTATGCATTATTATGATCAATTTGATTCAATTTTTTATTACTTCATGATTCCACTCATCTATATGTTTAGAATCTGATTTTGTGTTACCACCTGCATAATCACGTTAGGAGCTAAAGCTGAAGGCTATTTTTAACTCCATTTTTGTTTGCATATAGCTTGTCTTATTCAGTTAGTTTATAAGAAAATATCTATACCAATAGCATATAACTCAGTTAGTTTGATAGGATGTGTGAATTATTTTAAATTCTTTAGATAAACAAACTGAATTACAGTCATAGATGTTGCAATTAACTCAAGCATACTCTTTTTAAGTTTAAGAGATTACTTACTTACTATGCCCTTGCTTTGAACCAAACCAATGAAACATTACCTTGTAAGAAGGAGATCCAATCAATCCTGTATTCTCACGTATGTTGTTTAAAGTTAAACCATTTGATTTAAAGAAAAGAAAAGTAAGAAGATTAATTAGTGAAGGTATGTTTATTGTTCACTAAAAGAGATGTGCATTGATGTGTGAAATATGAGGCATGAAACCAAGGTAGGTATATGGTCGAATCGAAGTAGTATAATAATAAAATGATGAGTTGGAGTGTGAGAAAGGGACGTGGAAAGAATTGTGTATTATTGGTATGGGAGAGAAGAGAGGGAATCCACGTGAAGAAGTGAGTAATTTAATAAGAAATAAGTCAAGGGAGATATGCCAGCTTTCTTCCTTGTGTAGCGTGCTCATGTCGCCAATGTTTCTACCAAGTCCCACCTTTTTCTCCTCTCTATTCTTTCTACCATCTTTCTTTTTCTTCTCCATCGTCTGCTTTTTTCTCTAAATAATAATAACTAAATGTCATTTTATTACTTGTTTTACTAAACCTCTTCCAGTGACTGGTCATTCATCATTCATCAATCAGGAGTTTCAACCTATTTCAATGCCCCCTCTCTTTTCGTTTTCGTTCATGTTTATTTCCTTGGCAGCCACAAATTGTTCATCACTTGTGAATGATATCTTGTACCTTTATACACGCATATTTACTTAGAGGTATACAAAATTCAAATCGAATCGAATTGATACAAATTCGAGCCAATCAAGATAAAAATTCATTCATTTTAAGAAAATAATAATAATAAAAGTCCATTTTGTGCAAAGATTTGATAAATCGATATATTATTTATTAAGTATGGTTAGATTCAATTTTATATATATAAAAAAAACTTAATCACACACATATATATATATATAGTGAATAATCCAATTATATTAAATTGATCTAAATTTTAAAAATTTAATCCATTTTTAAAAGAAATTAAATTGACTTACTTTATTTAAAATGATTTGATTAATTGAACTATTTTAATAAAATAGATGGATTAAGCTTTAAATTTTGAAAATCCAATCCATGAACATGACGTGACTTAGATTTATGTCTCAGAATTTTTAGTAAGCAGATTTCACATTTGCCATGGCATTGTTTTATGTTGTACATGTTAATATGAATTTTAAAATATATACATAAATATTTCACTAAAAAAAACAAACATCTTAAATTTTTAACATTGGCCAGCTAAAGTCTACTAACCGAGTTTGAATTGACTCGTAAATGTTAACCATGGAATGAAAGCCTAGACACTCTATCATGATCATCAACCTTAATATTGGGACCCAAACTGTACTTTTGGCTAGTTTCCTACGAAAATGCGTCCAATATTATGTGCTTAATTAAACTTTAATTTGACTACCCATCATGAACAAAAATACTTGGTACATTTCTTAATTAAATTGGACTTTGTTTATTCCAATTACAACTGTTCATCACCCAAAAGTAGAACATATATCGCTTTAAACTAGACCAACTACAAAATGGTTAGTGATTGAAATAATAATGTCAACCAAAGCCTTTCATTCCTTTTTATTTAATTGATTCCTTGAGTTAACAAAGGTGCCTAACGTGCATGTTCTAATTAAATATCATATTGAAACTCGGCTTAATCATTGGAACATGGATCTAATTCCGGATGCCACCATTAATGTTCACTGTTTAGGGTGCATTTGTTGATTAATTAATCAAAAGCAAACAAAACTCCTCTTCATTTTCATTTGGAAGAACCCCGAACTCCTCAAATGATCATTACTTTTAAATACAAGAAATTATTACATGAAAACTTTGTCAATTTTTACGACACGTAACTAAATGCTATTCATTAATTATTATTTCTTCTAGATTATAAAACTCGATTATATAATACATTAGAAATTGATGGAGACTAGCTACAAACCATGGGAGGGTCCCGGTATATAATAATTTCTCCTTAAATACATTGATTTAAATTTCAAATTTTTTAATGTATATATGAAATAAAATTAAATATTCTTTGTTCTTTATGTAATGTCTATAATTAAGGAACAGAAATAAAATTGATGAATTCTTCATCATTTCCTCGATTATTTCCTTTTCTTTTGTTTTTTTGATTTGTATTACGCAAGCATGCTAATTAATATAAACTAATTAATCCAACCCCGAAAGCCAAAACCAAAAGTCATTAAGGCAAACTCTTCTATATCCACAACTTTAGATACTCACTTACATTTTAGAAAAAGAAAAAGAATTTAAAAAAAAAAGGGGGAGAAAAAGGTCATGTTATATTTTTAACAATTTTCAAGTGTTGAACCATCTTCGGCTCCCATTCCCCTCCGGCACCGGCCACCGGAAAAAAAAAAAAACTAGTCTTCCGAGATGCTCTCCAAACGAGGCCGCCACAAACCGCCGCGGGCGCTCCGGCGATCCCGCCACGAGCATTTCTTCTCCTTGGAAGCTAGAAACGTTCCATTGTCGCGTTGCTGCACGCTCTTGGTGGTAATTAGGTCATCACCATTCTTATTATTATTATTCTTAGTATTTTTTTTATGACAGGCACCGGCGCTCACGTGCGACACGCGCGGCACGTGCCTTTTCTTCTCCGGCAAGGAGGAGGCCGGGATCAAGAAGTATATGCTGCCTCTCTTGAGGTCGGTCTCCGGCGAGAGGATGAGAATCCGGCGAACGACGCCTTGCGAGGTGGGCTTGCTCAAGACGTGGTTTGGATTGGCCTTGAGAACTTGCCCCGCCGTGATTGGACGCGTGATCTCTTCCACGTAACCGTTCAAGTGCACTATGCGGATCAGGTCTAGGGCTCCACACGGAAGAACGCAAGCCAAACAGCACCTTAAGCTGTTTCCCATTGTTTTTAACTCCCTCTGTGGTTCGGAAGGGTTGGAGCGTGTGGGGTGTATTTATATGCCCAATGACCATGGGTACGATCATAATTATTGTGAAATGACCATAGGTACGATCATAACTCATAAATAAAATAAATAATGCAAACGGATTCGAATTTACCAAACTACCCCGCCACAAAGAGTGGTTTCCAATTTTTCTTTCTGTTTTGGCTTTTCTCGCTCGCGCAGTCACGTTCACATGTTATAGTGGTGGGGTTGCTGTGTAAGTTTTATTTTTATTTTTTATTTTTATTTTGGGTACACCACACGTATAAACAAGCAAAAAAATCTGAATACTTAACGCAATTAGTGACGGCTCGAACTCGAAGAATATCTATTCAGAAGTATGGCCTAAACCTTGTCAAATTGGTTATGTATTCTTCTTCCTTTTTCTCTTTTTTTGCTTAACTTTTCTACCAGAAAAAATAGCTTTGTTGTGGAAATTTGGATACGCGCGTTTAATGTGCGGTTTACCCTAACTCTACATATACACGCAGTCAAAAGCTTATCCACAAAAGGGAAGAAACAAGAAGGAAAACACTCATGAATTGACATTATTATTAGCCGAACAATATACTTACACAGTCACACGATCATTTTCCACACCATTCTTGTATTATTTCCTTCCTTTTATGATAGAACAAAAGAATCGACCATAGCACGTTTAACATATTCTCGCTCTATCTTTTTGTTTTTCGATGTAGGAAAAGAAAATTAGTCTACTACTGAAGAATGGCCAATAAATTTGTCTCCATTACCAAACCCTTTGTTTGAAAACATTAATTAATTAGTATAGACGCGATAAATTTTTTTTTATTATCAAAGACGCGATAATTACATAGGCTATAATTAAAAAAAAACAATTATAAATACCTCTTATAGTACCCCTCAAAGTAATTGTCTTTTCCACTACTATTAATATGTTTGTATTGTTATTATTGGTGATGATAACATTAATGCTAATAGTGGAATAGTATGATGATAATGAGCAATAATAATGATAGAGTATAATTTAAGAACGGTTATTAATTGTTCTTATATTTTTACTTAAATAAATGTTTTTATAAGAATCGCTCTTTATATGCATGTTGATAAGATAGATAAGAGAATCACAATAAGATAAGTTGAATTAGTGGAGAAAGTTTATAACCTACAAAAGTAATTCTTTACTCAACACTAAGTTTTGGCTATCAGAACAATATTTAGGAGCAAGGAAATGATATATAATCATAAGAATGTACTTTGATCGATGGAATAATATGATTGTCCGCAAATGTTCAAAAATAAGACTTTAATTATAGATATTCATAGTTGAGCTTTTGGAGTTTATGAAAAATAGGTTTTAGAAAACCAGAAAACTTAAATTATGTTTCTTAAGGTTAATTACAAATTAGTATTAATAAAACTTTCAAAAAATATTTTTTTCCTGATATATTAAACTTGTTTAAGTGTTAATGTTATTTTGCTTCAAACAGATTTGTTCAAAAGAAAAAATGTCAAATCTTTAAACTATGCGATGACCGTAAAAGTGTTAGATAGAAGGGTACTACGATCAGAAGATTTTTAAACCGGTTCTCCCATAAATTACTGATGTTACATCTAGTCCCTACCTAGCTTAGTAGGATTTTCTTCTCTTTTTTTTTTTCACACTTCAATAACATTAAACCCTTATTCATCGGTCTCTAAAGAAATGCAATATCCTTTAATATACAAGACTCTAGACTTTATGTTCTTTTTACACTCAAACAGTGGAAACACAATACAACACAAAGCTTACAAACACTAGATGATACCAATATGTAGAAACAAAACTGAAGTGATTGACTTGGAATTACTCTCTTTAGCTTGTTTATAAAATAATGATTTTGCAAATTTTATGTATAAATTAATATGTTTACTTCCTTTCTTTGTTGGATTTCTACATCAATTAGTCTTTATATAGATAGAGGTATAATCTTCAAACTGGTCGTTTATAGTGATTAGCAGGTCAATCAAATTTATTTAGAAGTTATCTGAATTGAGATTTTTCATTTCAACAACCTTTTGATTGAAGCTTTGACTTTTTTGCTATCGGAATCCTTCTTGTAAGAGGGTTTAAATCCTTTAATTTCTTCTTAAATATAATTCAAGGTTGGAAAATACCTGAGGAGTTTTGGGATTTAGTTTAAACAAATCTGACAAAATTTTATATCGTCGTCAAGATTTCTACTTCAAGAATATAACTAATTTGCGGACAAAATCTGTGTTGGACATCAACCAAAAGACCTCTTTATAATGTGAGATGGTTTTGTGTTTGGACATTAAACATGATTTTGTTTTTGGACATCACCTAAAAGACTTCTTTACCAATAGAGACAATTGTGTATATATAAACTCATGTTCATCCTCTTGTTTGAACGATGTGGAACTTTGCTTGCATCCCAACACTTTTGATCATATACCTTTCATGAATTCACATTGTTAATTATTCTTTCAAAAGTATCCGGTGTTTTGGAATGCATCCCTTCTTAATTTATATAGATTTATTATATCCAATAAATTATATTTTATATCAAAGTTAAATTAAAACTTAATGTATAAAAAGTTTACAAATTAATAAACATGGTATAAGGGAAAGACCAATTCATATAATTAACCTCAGTTTTAATTTTTTCTACTAATTAAGGACACTGCATATTGTTTTATGTCGCGACAACATATAAGCAGTTAAATAAATCATAAACACAAAAATCATATTAATAATAAAAGCAGAAAAAACAAAAACACCAGTCCCCATAAAACTGCGGCCTTGATCAATCAAAGATCAATCATGTAAGTAGATCCAGAAGAAACCATGGGAAATAGCGAGCTAGTTATAATAAATAAATTTATATACTGTCATTGAATCAAGAAACTCAGTCATTTCACTCAAAGACAAAGGAATAAAGAAACCAAAATAAGATAAAAGCCCTTGACCCTTTTGCAATGCGGACAAAACTATAAAACATGAACCTTATGAAAACGTGGGTTGCAGCAGGCTCAACTTAATTAGAAAATACCATATATTTCTTTGTAGATAAGTATGCTTATTATCGTTGATACAAAGTGATTTGTATTTATACTCCTACTTAATTTATTTTGATTAGAAAGAAATATGCATTTTATTCTTAATTTTTAATTTTACATTTATTCTTTTAAAATAATCATGTATATACTATTTTATAAATTAAATTTGAACCGATGATATATTTTCATTTTTAAGAATTTAAGAATTATATTTTTTAGTTTCCCTAAAATTTTGGAATATTCGTGTTATACAAAAAATGCATATATATTAATAAAAAAAACTTTATATGAATATTCTTGCTTGCATGGAGTACTCACCGCCAATATTGCCGGCCACCTGACTGTGGCTCATTAATGTTCATATAGTAGTACAAGCAAATTCACGTATGGTTGTAGGTAGATATGGATATTGAAAGGAGAATTGGAAAGTACCCTTATTTTAAGCATATATTATCATATGTACGTAAGTGTCCTATGCTCAAAAGTGTTTGAACTAAATTCATGGATAAGAGATATGAAAAGCAATTTAATTATTAAGCAACTCCATCTCCAAGTTACTTAGCATCTAATGAAACCCTCAAGGCCTCAACTCAAAGAACATGGATCGATGGCAAATAAAGGAACGATATGTAATTATGATCATAATTAAGACATAGATTGATAAAAATTTAAATGTAATGGAAAGAACAATTGGAAATAGATCAGATTTCAATTGAATAAATTTATAGCTCTAATTTAGGTTTATATTGCGCCGTACCAGCTTGTCTTTCAACTCAGCGTAATGATCCATAGCTTCACACCGTCGTATTCATCATTCTCATATACACGTATTTAGCATTTTTAGTTAACTGTGGACCAACCTATAATAATGAACTCATCTCCCTGGACCCAAGCTATAATTGGATAAAAGAATGGGACCACCATGATTGTCATCTTCAAATTATTTCAAATAATGTTGTCTTCAATCTTCATGATAGATGTATGTACTCAATTTTAATTTTTTCCATACAACAGTTAGCTGGTGATATAAACATACGTCATTATACAGATGAAATTTTGTCTTGGTAAGTTAGATAAATAAATAATTCAATATATATCAACAAATTAATGGATCAGAAAGTTTTGAATGGAAGCGCGTGTACAAGTTAGATGGCCCTTCAATTCAATCCAGTATTTTGTTTTGAATGAACATGATCACATAATACACATTATTTGTTATTGGTATTTCATCACGTGATATTAAATGTTGATTATATATAATTAAAATTTATAATAAATTATATATACATGATTGAATATTATATTTAAATATATAAATTATATTTAAAATTTTATAGATAGATATTTTTAATTATATTTTAGATTTAAAATAAATAATTTATATTATGATACAAAATTATTTTAATTATTAATACTTTATTTTAAAAAATCATTAATATATATATATATATATATATATATGATACATAAAAAATTGAATTAGATATAGTTTACGAAAATCCTTATAAATGCTATAATTAAATGAAAATAATAATTATTTAATTTTTTTTTTATTAAACTGTGCAATATGATATCTAAATTTCTCTCAGCATGATAGTTGTTATGTAAGTTATATTAATTTTTTATACTATATAAGTTAATAAAATTATGCATAATTAAATATAATAATTTTTCTTCTTTATGAAAATCTCAAATACATTTATTAAAGGATTCTCCAATTTTACTTTTTGCTTAATTTTATGAAAAAATTTATTAGTGAACAAAAAAGGATATTTAATTTTCCCTGCATAAAAAAATCAATTAGAATAAAGTAATGACATATCTAATAATTAGAACATGAATAACAAAAAAGTATAAATTTAAATTTTAACTTACTCCCTACTCAACCTTCTCAATAATCCTGAAAAATATGGTGAGATATATTTATGAATTATATATTCAAATATATATGTCTTGACCAAACTGTGATCACTAAATTTATCATATTAAAATTTGAATATGAAACCATGCCTTAGAAACCTTAGAAAAATGTAATTTCTTTATATTTTTCGCATAATGCTTTTTTTTTAATAGTAAAATGTTTGTATGATTTAAAGTAAGAAATATTTAAATGAAAGATAAACAAAAAATAATGAAAATAATATGATTTGGGCATTTGTGAATAGGTATGGAGGTAACAAATTAATGTAGGGTGTTGCGGGATCGAGATAATTGGTGGAGGTCCATTATGTACTCAACTTACACCAGTGTGTATTGAGTATTGACGCTTCAAAATATGCATTTTGGGACTCTTTTCATTTTACTGAAGCATCGTACATTTATCTTGCCAAGTATATCGAGAGAGAAGTGCTGCCCCAGTTCAATTTTTAATAGTAAAGAGAACCAGCTACAACATTTTTCTTCTTATATTTTAAGTAATATCTTTATTTGCACCTAAGTTGTGGTCACATTGTAACATCCCTTATATATTAAATAATTTTGGATTAATTAAGTTATAATATAAAGAAATGTTCTATTGAAAGTTAAATAAAATAAAGAAGGATTGTAAGCAAATTAAGACAAATTTAGTTATGACTCTACTACTTTTTTTTTTATCGTTATAAATTTATACATACAATATATTTATAATCATAAATTATAAATAATTTGTAACGTTTTTAAAAATAATTTCTATTTACAGTATAAATATTTTGTGTCTCCATTAATTTATTTTAATTGTTATTTGTATTTTTAATTTATCTTTTAAAATGAATTTTAAACATTATTTTCGTAGCTAAAAAAATTCTCTATCAATTATGTTAAATAATATTCATATTTTGTGAATAAATAAATTTTTAATTGTCTATGTAACATCCCACTTTTGTCTTCTTTTTTCTTTAGATTATATTTTATCAAACATGCCGTAAATGATTGTTAGTCTTTGGGGTGCCAACGTCGTTGGGATGTCTTAGATCTATGGTGATTCTTTTGGATGTCTCACCTTTATCTAAGAAAAATATAAGCAAAAGTATTTTTATTAATAAAATAAAAGGAGAGAGATAAATTAAAAGATTTTGGGCTAGACTTTAAGTTCAACCCGAAGGTTAATTAAAAGAAGTAAAATGGAGGGGATTAAGTTATTGCAAATCTTCTTAAAAAAATATAGAGCACTCACAAGAGGAAACTTAGAGGAGACTATAGGAAAAGATGCATATTAGCTATCAAAGTTATAGGAAACACGTTGATCCACAAGATCGTCACTCTAGGTAATGGAAGTGAGATCATCATATCTTTGGACATATATGAGGGATAAGGGTAAATGGATTTAATTTGTGTGACTTCTTATGAAGGAATCAATTATTACTTCTTTGAATATTATCTGAATTTGTGTACCAAATTATGTTTGATTGATATATTAATGATAAGTTGAAATGATGATGAATTAGGGCCATGTATGCCTAAAATTGGGGTTTTGATGTGGTTCAATATTTTGTATGAGTTGATGATGATAAATGACTATAAGAATGATAATCAAATGTTTTTAACTAATTGAATTGTGAATTGAGTAAAAGGATGTGTTTGGATATATTGGAGGTTAGAGTTGTATGTATGATTTGAGAGTTTTTGTGTAGTTTGTTTAATTATGAAAATTTTGGTATGAACATATCTCAGTATTTAAGTGATTTCTCTTTAAGTGGTTAACCAAATAGAGTTTTACTTATTAGGTTAGAAACTACACATTTGAAACTATATTTTATACTCGAAAATCACATAAAAAATATTAAGTGATTGAGTTATGTAAGTCACAAAATGAGCCTCATGTTTTGTACGTGAAAATTAATGTAAGAAACTTGTAAGCATTGCAAAGATCCACTACAAGAAAATTGTTGTATAGTGACACACATCCTATAGTGATACAATAAGTGTCACTAAAAATTACTTTTACCTACACAATAAATATAATATATGTTAGTATATTGTTAAAAAGTATGAGTATAAGCTACAGTGACACACAAAATATGTTTTTAAATCTCATTCAAAATCAACACTAAAATTATGTGTAGCTATATGCGAAATAGATATATACCTACATATAATTAATATACTTATTGTGACACTTTTTTATAATTAGACTAAAATACTGCAATTTTATTATTATTTTTAAAATAGTAAATGATAAAATCAACTCTTGAAATCAACATATACATTTTGGGTAATTATTTTTTATTTATGATAAAATTAATATCAACATAATAACATAGGTATATATCTAGATAACGTGTTTAGACCACATGACGTCATAAAAGTTTTAGATAAGAAGAGATAGTTTATGAGTTGTAGTGGTGAGTTATTTTATTTCTTTAAGTGTTTAATTTTGAGACCTTGCATATATGTGATATGAAATGTGGATGTTTTACTTGAGAATGATGTATACATTGTTTGAAAAATTGGTGAATGATGTTATAATATTCTAATATGTGATGAATGGATAGTATGCATAACAATAATGTATAATGTTATGTTATCTTGGGAATGACTTGTTTTGTTTAAATTTAACTATGTCAATTTTGTTTTTCCCCGGTGAACCGCATCCATATTTTTAATGCGATCCATAGAGAACTATATTTTCGGGTGTTTATAAGTTTTGAGTTTTTAATGTTTAATAAAAAAGGTCCAGGAAGAAATTTCCTTCCACTTGGACGTCTCAAACTTGACTTTAGTCTTGCATCTAAATCATTTCTCCATGGATTGAAAATATTGTTCTCCCCTCTCCATCATATTTCCTCAAACACTTGGCTCAATCAACTTCAGGAAAATTCCTCCATGTTGTTGTCGCTTACCTAAAATAGTTGTCTTGGCATCATTCTCACGTCTAGGTTTCTTGAATTCAGTTCACTTGCAATGTACAAATTTAAATTCGAAAGAAACTAACACGTCTTTTCGCCCATGCACTATAAATATAACATGGTAACCAAAGTTCTATCTTACCAAATGAAAAAGTTATAGTAATAATGGCTCATACAATCTACTTCTTAATTTTGATGCACGCATGCACCTTTGTAGTTGTTACAAGCATTAGGAATGTCTCAATGACACCCAAGTTCTCATCTATTCTAGTCTTTGGGGATTCAACAGTAGACACAGGGAATAACAACTACATCAATACCTTAGCCAAGGGAAATCATTTACCCTATGGTAAGGATTTCCCTGGTCACGTGCCTACCGGTAGATTTTCTAATGGGAAATTGGTTCCTGACTTTATTGCCTCTATGTTGAACCTTAAAGACACTGTCCCTCCTATCTTTGATCCAAACCTATCAGATGAAGAACTTCTCACAGGTGTTAGCTTCGCATCTGGCGGATCAGGTTTTGATGATTTGACTACGGCTTTATCTGGTGCCATAGCAATGTCCAAGCAAATTAAATACTTTAAAGTTTATGTAGAAAGGATCAAGAACATTGCAGGGGAAAATGAAGCTAATCGAATACTTGGAAATGCGCTGATTATTATTAGTGCAGGAACTAATGACTTTCTCTTCAACTTTTATGACATTCCTACTAGGAAATCGGAGTTCAACATTGATGGATACCAAGATTATGTGCAGAATCGGCTTCAAATCTTCGTTAAGGTAAGTTTATTGTAAATGTTTAATTTATAAGACTAAGTATGGTTTTAATTTCCATAAAATGAGTGAATTTTGATTTTGAATTTGATTTTGATTATTTCTTGTTATCAATTTATTTATTTAAAATATGAAATTATTGTTTTTATTTCTTATAAAATAAGAAATTTTAATTTTGATATTTTTAAAATTTTTTTTTTTTCATATCTCCAAAACTTAAATAACTAATTTTGGTCTTTAACATTCATTTTAAGATAAATAAATAATATCTTTCTTAGACATTGAAGGAAAAAAAAATAGAAGTCTTACATGTTGATGATATTATTAGAGACATTAGTAGTGTCATCTAAAATAATTACTTGACCTATCGATCAATATATATAAGCAATTAATGAGTATCATATAATAATAAAAACAAAAAAGTGATTTATTTTTAATTTAGAGGGATGAAATATGAAATATTTTTATAAAGAGTAAAATCAAAACTTTGTTACTTTTCAAAGAATAAAATTTTTAATTCTTAATTATATTATTATAACTTCAGCATTTTTTTCCACAAGTAATTAACAAAAATAATTTCGTAAGGAGTGAAAAAAGATTAATATAGATAATAAGTAAACTGGCAATGTTTATTTTATATATGTCTAGTGAGTTAGTAGAAACCAATGATGCTTATATTTATACGATTCACGGATTCAGAATAGACTCAATGTCAACACTGTAGAAACACCTATAATCACCAACTGATATGTAATATATATAGTGCACACTGCTCAGCATGTCTTTTGTGTAAAAAATTGTACTAGGAACTATACGACCTTGGATGCAGAAAATTTGCTGTTACTGGGCTTCCTTCCATTGGTTGCATACCCATTCAAATAACAGCGAAGTTTGAAAGCTTAAAGGAACGGAAATGTGTAGAGGATGAGAATTCAGATGCGAAGCTCTACAATCAAAAATTAGCATCGCGATTGCTTAAAATACAAGCAATGCTTCCAGGAAGCAGAGTTGTTTATACAAATGTATATGACCCATTGATCAACCTTATCAATCAACCGGAAAAATATGGTGAGCTACATTTTTTTAGTATATTAGGTCAATTGGTCACATATTTATAAAGCTTTTAAAATATATATGATTTTTTTTTAATTTTAAGGTGTTGCCAAAACAAGAACCAAAGACACCTTTATTTATATATATATATATATATAATGGTATGGAAAGCATAGATTCATTTGTGACAATATTTATGTGCTCTTATAACATTTTAACATATAGGCTTCAAGGAAACAAGTAAAGGGTGTTGTGGAACTGGCTTATTTGAAGTAACTCCACTGTGTAATGAAATCACACCAATATGTGGTGACCCTTCAAAATATGTATTTTGGGACAGTGTCCATCCAACGGAAGTAGCCTACCAGTACATTGCTAAATACCTAGAAATGAATGTCCTGCCCAAGTTCCAATTTCATATGGATTATATTTCTTAAATATGGAGCTTAACACCCACCTCATTTGTGTATACTGATATTATTTATATTTATATAAAACGTGAAAAATTTGTTTGTATAGAAAAATATATTAATAAAACGAATTTCAATCATTGTACAAATTTGAGAATGATGAGTTTATGAAGCTTGCAATTCGCAACTCCTTTATAATTAAGGATACTACTTGAATCTATATTCAGTCCTTAATTAGTTACCTTGGGAACAAAAACACCATTACCTATAATTTTTAAAGAAAGGAAATTTTGAGCAGATTGAATGTCAACCGATATTATAAATGTCTCGAACCAAATAGGAAGAATTAATTAGAGGTTAGGACGAATTCATCATACTGTAGACCCCCAAATACATGAATTCGTGAGAACTTGTTTTGAAATTAATTATTCATAATTTATAAATTCAACAAAAGGGATTTGATTGATATTGCGTCAAGCACAATATGAAGCCGTCAGGCGAGACAGAGCATGGGTTGCTCTATGTGACGATTATGCTGGGGATGACAAGGTACACTGTGGAAGAAAATATGTACAAATATTTTGATGATGCCAAAGTGATTATAAAACATTGAAGAAGAATCAAGGTTGAGCTAAAACAAGTTGATGCAAGAACAAGATCTCAAGTGTTACATAGATAAGTCTTGTCAACTTAGCTAAGAATGTAAAAGAATCTTTTAGAATTGCAAGTATGTTTGACCTTGAGAATAAGTTTTCAAAAATTTCAAATTAATCTCTTTAAATTTAAGCAAGTTTTAAATCTTTTGAAATTAAGTAAAAATGTTTTCAAAAGACTTAACAAAAACTTTAAAGAATAGTTCAAATCATTTCTTAAAAGAGATTTGTGAAAGAAATTATTGATATGAAGTTTTTTACATAAAAGTTTTTGAAACAATGCAAAAATATGTTCTAGTAATCCATTACCAGACCTTGTAATCCATTACCAGAACAAGGAAACTTCAAAGTTTAAATTCAGAATACAAAATGTGTTCTGGTAATCGATTACCATACTTTGTAATCGATTACCAGAAGAGAAAACTTAAAAAAATTGAATTTAAAAAATACAACGTTTCAATTTTTTGAACTTAAAACCGTTGTAATCGATTACCAAGTCTTGTAATTGATTACCAAAGTATCTTTTCTGAAAAATTATAAAGAGTTACAACTCTTCATGAAAAGACATAACCTAAGAAACAATTGTCTATAAATACCTATAATTTTTCAGAAATAGGTTATGAACTCTATTATGAAAAAGTCATATACAAAAACATCTTGACCAAATTCATTTGTATTATTCTAAAAGAGTTCATTAAGATCATAAAAGTGTATATCTACTCTTAAAAGAGAATTCTGTAAATTTCAAATTGATCATTGGATCTGTGAAGGAGAAAGAGTTTTTCTCCTTGTTGATTTTTGAATCTCAACACAAGAAAAGGGAGTTCCAAGGTGTTGGAGGATTCAAGTCTTGTAAGGTTTACAAGAATAGTGGAAATCTCAAGTGGGAGACTTGAGGACTGGACATAGGCAGGATTGACTGAACTAGTATAAAATTGAGTTTGCAATTTTTTTCCCCTACACTTTTAATTGCGTGTTATTAATTGTGATTGAGTAGTTTGCATCATCATTCATTCTTTACTTATAAATTTATCTAAAGAATTGAATTTGTAAGAAAGTAATTCGGAAAAGTTTTATAATAGGAAAATTTGAAAAACTTAATTCACCCCCCCTCTTAAATTATATGAGGCTACCTGACTAACATACACATCAAGCATGAGATTCATAAAGTACTCTTTTTGGTATTGACGCAACATATGAGGGTGGTCACACCGAACGTAAGAGCTTTAAGGACTTACTGTAGTTAAATTTACCTAATGTGGAAGGGTTGCGTCGAGTGTAATCCTCTCTAAGAGTAAAGAGTGCTCCTAGTCTCGACTGAACCAGGTATAGGGCACTTGATGTCGAGTGTCACCTTATGCCTTCACCTAAATTACATGTGATTGTTTGATAGCTTGGAATAACTATTGAATATGTGAATAGTATGAAATTATGATGAGTGATGTATATGTAATTAAGGGTGTTGTATGTAATTTTGGATGACATGAAATTATGTGTTGGGCTAAAGTGATCCTTGAAATTATGAGATACGAGCTATGTGAGAAATGAGTGATTAATCACGTGGCTAAGTCTAAGTCTAACTTAGTAATGTAAAAGTTTGGGTGCAGGAATGTGATTATTGTGACTTGAGATTGAGTATATATATAATTATGAATATGATTGATATGAACATGCATTGTGTCTATGTGACATGCATCATGTATACTACGTGTTTTGTAAAGGATACAATGTGGAATATAATTGTATAAAAATATCATCTGTTTTGTCTATCCTTTCTTCAACAGATTTTACTGTTAGCATTACTATTTCACTACTTAAAAAAATAAGTTTTTTTTACTAATATTATTCAACTCCCTTGTAGTGTTTTTCTTTTCTCCACACCTTTCTTCACTAAAACCCTTTTCTCCCACTTCTTATAGTTGATCCAAGGTAGTTGAGTTTGAAATCAAAGCTTGAGGAGCTAAAGATTTCGGATTGCATGTGAAATAAGGCCAAATAGCCAAACATACAAAACATAATAGATACATCATATAACACCGGTATAACTTTTACTAAGTGTTACACTACTTAATAATTTTATGTTAAATGTGAATTTTGTAAATCCAACCATTAGATTGAAAGTTCTTTACTCATAGATCATATATATAAAATTTTATATTAATCCAAGATGATTTGATACATCATTCTTATAAAACAAAATTGACATAATATATTCATTTCAAAATATACTAAAATATGAATACTTTAATTACCTTCAAGTTGTTCAATTTTAACAAAATTTGACATACACATATAAAGTGATATGAACTTTCAATCTAACGGTTAGATTTACAAAATTCATAATTAATATAAAGTTATTGAACGGTGTAATACTTAATAAAAGTTACACCAGTATTATTATAACCCTCCTCTATATATATATACAATTAAATATTCACAATAAGATGTCAATAAATCATTCACAACTATATTTCATTCATCCCAATCACTCTACATAATTCATTAACACACAAGATGTAATGAACATGGACTATGATTTGCATGCATGTGACACCAATCACAATATATATACAATGTATATGTGTATCAATTTGTTGATTTATCGATTTTCATGTATATATGTGATGCATGTCACACAAGACTCAACCAATTTTCCAATTACATACGATTTGCACTGTTTAATCATTCACAACGATACAATCCACATTCAATTCATGATCAACAAGGAGTACAAGGAATAATCACACCATTCATCATAAGTTACCATAAGGAGTAAGATACATGCAAGGGGTGACACCTAATATGACGACCAACCCACACCTAGCATAACACACCTAGAGAAAACTCGTAACTCTCGAGATGACCTACGTTCGACATGACTCACTTCACACTTAGCAAGGATCAACCCACGTCTAACATAAATGACATAGAGAACTAACTTTTCTCTTAGCCATGATGATGCCTGGTGAGACACAACTAGTGCCCAACACTATATCAGAAAACCAAAATATGCAAAAACGCGAATTTTATTATTTATGTACAAGAGTACCAATTGACCATTTCAATTGGTAAACACATCAAAAGAATCATGTTATATGTCAAAAAGGCACAAATTTCACAAAATTACATACTTCTATTCATTACTCACACAATAAGACCCTAATGCATTCCCTTAGGACTTATACAAGAATCCATGACAACTCAAATCATATCAAATCAATTCAATACACCAAATTAACCATACATATATACAAATAACATCAATAAAAGAGTTGATGAGTCATGAAGAAGACAAAAATCAGAGAATAGATTCAAATTGGGATTTTCTCTCATACTATGCATACGAAAATGAGAGTCAACCTCACTACCCAACAATTATCCCACATCCTTGAGCAAGATTACTCACTCCCCATATCACCTTCATGAACATTAGGCAAAAGGCACAGGTCTATGAGATGATCTCCTAAGGTATTTTTTCCTCTCAATTCTTCAGAGTGTGAAATGCAAAAGTGAGAACGTATAAAAAAAACTAACATAACTCCCTTTTAAAAAAAAAAAAAAAAACTTTAACTCCCCTTTAACCTACGCAGTTAAAACATTTACACTAGGTTACACATCCCTTCCCTCAATTATTTAAATAAAACAATTAATCAAAATCACCTATTTTATATAATTAAAATACATTATAAAATCAGTCCACTCATATATATATATATATATATATATATATATATATATATATATA